GGGTCACAGCTAGGTGGTTGACACTTGTGTGAGGGGTCACAGTAGGTGGTGGACACTTGTGTGGGGGGTCACATCTAGGTGGTACACTTGTGTGAGGGTCACAGCTAGGTGATGACACTTGTGTGAGGGTCACAGCTAGGTGGTGACACTTTTGGTGAGGGTCACAGCTAGGTGATGCATTTGTGTGAGGGTAAACAGCTGGGTTTGGTGACACTTGTGTGAGGGTCACAGCTAGGTGGTGACACTTGTGTGAGGGTCACAACTAGGTGGTGACACTTGTGTGAGGGTCACAGCTAGGTGGTGACACTTGTGTGAGGGGTCACAGCTAGGTGGTGACACTTGTGTGAGGGTCACAGCTAGGTGGTGACACTTGTGTGAGGGTCACAGCTAGGTGATGACATTGTGTGGAGGTCACAGCTAGGGGGTGACACTTGTGTGGGGTCACAGCTAGGGGGTGACACTTGTGTGAGGGTCACAGCTAGTGGTGACCCCTTGTGTGAGGGTCACAGCTAGGTGATGACACTTTTGTGAGGGTCACAGTAGGTGGGTGACCTTGTGGGGGGTTTCAAAAACTAGGTGGTGACACTTGTGTGAGGGTAAACAGCTAGGTGGTGACACTTGTGTGAGGGTCACAGCTGGGTTTGATGACACTTGTGTGAGGGTCACAGCTAGGTGGTGACACTTGTGTGAGGGTCACAGCTAGGTGGTGACACTTGTGTGAGGGTCACAACTAGGTGGTGACACTTGTGTGAGGGTCACAGCTAGGTGGTGACACTTGTGTGAGGGTCACAGCTAGGTGGTGACACTTGTGTGAGGGTCACAGCTAGGTGGTGACACTTGTGTGAGGGTCACAACTAGGTGGTGACACTTGTGTGAGGGTCACAGCTAGGTGGTGACACTTGTGTGAGGGGTCACAGCTAGGTGGTGACACTTGTGTGAGGGTCACAGCTAGGTGGTGACACTTGTGTGAGGGTCACAGCTAGGTGATGACACTTGTGTGGGGGTCCAGCTAGGTGGTGACACTTTGTGAGGGGTCACAGCTAGGTGGTGACACTTGTGTGAGGGTCACAGCTACGTGGTGACACTTGTGTGAGGGTCACAGCTAGGTGATGACACTTGTGTGAGGGTCACAGCTAGGTGGTGACACTTGTGTGAGGGTCACAGCTAGGTGGTGACACTTGTGTGAGGGTCACAGCTAGGTGGTGACACTTGTGTGTAGGGTCACAGCTAGGTGAGGGACACTTGTGTGAGGTCACAGCTAGGTGGTGACACTTGTGTGAGGGTCAAAGCCAGGTGGTGACACTTGTGTGAGGGTCACAACTAGGTGGTGACACTTGTGTGAGGGTCACAGCTAGGTGGTTGACACTTGTGTGGGGGGTCACAGTAGGTGGTGAACATTTGGGTGTGGGGGGCCCACAGCTAGGTGGTGACACTTTTTGTGAGGGTCACAGCTAGGTGATGGCACTTGTGTGAGGGTCACAGCTAGGTGGTGACACTTGTGTGAGGGTCCGCTAGGGGTGAAAATTGTGTGGGGGTTTTACAGCTAGATTGTGACACTTGGTGAGGGTCCAGCTAGGTGATGACACTTGTGTGAGGGTCACAGCTAGGTGGTGACACTTGTGTGAGGGTCACAGCTAGGTGGTGACACTTGTGTGAGGGTCACAGCTAGGTGATGACACTTGTGTGAGGGTCACAGCTAGGTGATGACACTTGTGTGAGGGTCACAGCTAGGTGGTGACACTTGTGTGAGGGTCACGTAGGGGGGTAAACACTTGTGTGAGGGTCACAGCTAGGTGGTGACATTTGTGTGAAGGTCACAGCTAGGTGGTGAAAACTTGTGTGAGGGTCACAGCTAGGTGGTGACACTTGTGTGGGGGTTTCACAGCTAGGTGGGGGACATTGTGTGAGGGTCACAGCTAGGTGATGGCACTTGTGTGAGGGTCACAGCTAGGTGGTGACACTTGTGTGAGGGTCACAGCTAGGTGGTGACACTTGTGTGAGGGTTACAGCTAGCTTGTGACACTTGTGTGAGGGTCACAGCTAGGTGATGACACTTGTGTGAGGGTCACAGCTAGGTGGTGACACTTGTGTGAGGGTCACAGCTAGGTGGTGACACTTGTGTGAGGGTCACAGCTAGGTGGTGACACTTGTGTGAGGGTCACAGCTAGGTAAATGACACTTGTGTGAGGGTCACAGCTAGGTGGTGACACTTGTGTGAGGGTCACAGCTAGGTGGTGACACTTGTGTGAGGGTCACAGCTAGGTGGTGACACTTGTGTGAAGGTCACAGCTAGGTGGTGACACTTGTGTAAGGGTCACAGCTAGGTGGTGACACTTGTGTGAGGGTCACAGCTAGGTGGGTGACACTTGTGTGAGGGTCACAGCTAGGGTGGGGGACATTTGTGTGAGGGTCACAGCTAGGTGGTGACACTTGTGTGGGGGGTCACAGCTAGTTGGTGACAATTGTGTGAGGGTCACAGCTAGGTGGTGACACTTGTGTGAAGGTCAAAAGCTAGGTGGGACACTTGTGTGAGGGTCACAGCTAGGTGGTGACACTTGTGTGGGGTCACAGCTAGGTGGTAAACACTTGTGTGAGGGTCACAGCTAGGTGGTGACACTTGTGTGAGGGTCACAGCTAGGTGATGACATTGTGTGGGGTTTAAACAGCTAGGTGATGACACTTGTGTGAAGGTCACAACTAGGTGGTGACACTTGTGTGAGGGTCACAGCTAGGTGGTGACACTTGTGTGAGGGTCACAGCTAGGTGGTGACACTTGTGTGAGGGTCACAGCTAGGTGGTGACACTTGTGTGAGGGTCACAGCTAGGTGATGACACTTGTGTGAGGGTCACAGCTAGGCGGTGACACTTGTGTGAAGGTCACAACTAGGGGGGTGGACACTTGTGTGAGGGTCACAGCTAGGTGGTGACACTTGTGTGAGGGTCACAACTAGGTGGTGACACTTGTGTGAGGGTCACAGCTAGGTGGTGACACTTGTGTGAGGGTCACAGCTAGGTGGTGACACTTGTGTGAGGAACATCATCTTCAAGACTAACATCAGTAAGTCACTGCAGCATCACTGTGATAACATCATCTTCAAGACTAACATCAGTAAGTCACTGCAGCATCACTGGGATAACATCATCTTCAAGACTAACATCAGTAAGACACTGCAGCATCACTGGGATAACATCATCTTCAAGACTAACATCAGTAAGTCACTGCAGCATCACTGTGATAACATCATCTTCAAGACTAACATCAGTAAGACACTGCAGCATCACTGTGATAGCATCATCTTCAAGACTAACATCAGTAAGTCACTGCAGCATCACTGGGATAACTTTCATCTTCAAGACTAACATCAGTAAGTCACTGAAAGCATCACTGTGATAACATCATCTTCAAGACTAACATCAGTAAGTCACGGACATCACTGGGATAACATCATCTTCAAGACAAACATCATTTAAAACACTGCAGCATCACTGGGATAACATCATCTTCAAGACTAACATCAGTAAGTCACTGCAGCATCACTGGGATAACATCATCTTCAAGACTAACATCAGTAAGTCACTGCAGCATCACTGGGATAGCATCATCTTCAAGACTAACATCAGTAAATCACTGCAGCATCACTGGGATAACATCATCTTCAAGACTAACATCAGTAAAACACTGCAGCATCACTGGGATAACATCATCTTCAAGACTAACATCAGTAAGTCACTGCAGCATCACTGGGATAACATCATCTTCAAGACTAACATCAGTAAAACACTGCAGCATCACTGGGATAACATCATCTTCAAGACTAAAAATCAGTAAGGTCACGGCGCATCACTGGGATAACATCATCTTAAAGGGACTAACATCAGTAAGACACTGCAGCATCCCCTGGGATAGCATCATCTTCAAGACTAACATCAGTAAGACACTGCAGCATCACTGGGATAGCATCATCTTCAAGACTAACATCAGTAAGACACTGCAGCATCACTGTGATAGCATCATCTTCAAGACTAACATCAGTAAGTCACTGCAGCATCACTGGGATAACATCATCTTCAAGACTAACATCAGTAGTCACTGCGCATACTGGGAAAAACATCATCTTCAAGACAAAACATCAGAAAGTCACTGCAGCATCACTGGGATAGCATCATCTTCAAGACTAACATCAGTAAGTCACTGCAGCATCACTGGGATAACATCATCTTCAAGACTAACATCAGTAAGTCACTGCAGCATCACTGGGATAGCATCATCTTCAAGACTAACATTTCCCGTCAGCTGCCTCAATCTGATGTTTATAGCCTAAAATAGAATAAACTCCTTCCCTGAAGATACATCGTAAAACGAAAATTCTTTAATTAAAAAAAACACGTAAATTAATTTGGGACCAAGTTCGTGGTCGAGCTAGACAAAAGTTTGGATATACAGACTAGAATTAAGTACTTCAGGCGACAAAGATGTGGAAAATATGTCACTGTCAAGCAAGAACGGTGGATTTTTTCTATGCTTGTACTTCATTTAAAAACCTTATGCTACGTCGTTTTCCAGACTAATAATGAGTACAAACGTAGTTTATTCCAGTTAGTGGAGCATGTAGCTACTTTAACCAGATATGCCATTAATATAGACACTACTGATACTCGCTAAGGTCTTGAAATTTTAAGTAATATAGACAAAAGTAGTATTACAATTAAGAATATGCTATTCGCATTTGCGAATGTACGTTAACTTACATTACAGCTAAATATTGAAATCCCTTTATCTGCACCTTTGCAATTAGCATTAATGTATTGTTCCATTGTTATAACTGTTTATGGATGAATATGTGATAGTTATGCACGTTATGTCCCTGATCCTGATCTTTTGAATTCTGATGAATAGTTTGTAGACCCGTGCCAGTATGGTGTTCCATTTTGTGGTAACTGTGTCCTCCTGCATGTCTACATGTCTCACACCTGTCCCTATCCCTCTCCTCTATTCCCAGCGCCTCAAAACCTTCCCCCTGGACGGCAGCATCTACTATGAGAGAGCATCCAGTGCCCCCCCTCTCTCAACCGCCTACGACGACATCTACTACGAGATTCTTCCACCCAAGTCGGCCGAGTCTCCTGAGGCCACCGCCAGAGGCCCGCTGAGGAAGCTGAAGACTGTGCATCATTCTCATCACCTGCGTATTGCGAACGAGGTAATGCCTCACCACCAGCCCACTGGTCTAAGGGATATTAGACCTCTCCCTCCTGGTGGCTAACGATATATTGTCTTAATTCCCGGCTTTAAGGCTACTACGACAGTAATTCTGGTCTTTATATTTCCCTCGCAGGTGCCTATATGACTGCAGTTAGCTGCAGTATAATGATCTATTCCAACAATGTCCCTTCTCTAGTTTCATAGGACATTTTATGCCCACAAAGTAATAATATCTTCACGAAGTCCTCCCCACAGGGGAACACTGTTTGACTCACGTCCAAGGTGCTTACCTTTATAAATATATTAAATCAGGGAAAATAGTTCTCGTATTATTGTTGGCTACACTGGCTGGTCATGCACTACCATGGTAAACACTGGTTGGTCATGCACTACCATGGTAAACACTGGCTGGTCATACACTACCATGATAAACACTGGCTGGTCATGCACTACCATGATAAACACTGGCTGGTCATGCACTACCATGGTAAACACTGGCTGGTCATGCACTACCATGGTAAACACTGGTTGGTCATGCACTACCATGGTAAACACTGGCTGGTCATACACTACCATGATAAACACTGGCTGGTCATGCACTACCATGATAAACACTGGCTGGTCATGCACTACCATGGTAAACACTGGCTGGTCATGCACTACCATGGTAAACAAATGGTTGGTCATGCACTACCATGGTAAACACTGGCTGGTCATACACTACCATGATAAACACTGGCTGGTCATGCACTACCATGAAAAACACTGGCTGGTCATGCACTACCATGGTAAACACTGGCTGGTCATGCACTACCATGGTAAACACTGGCTGGGCATGCACTACCATGATAAACACTGGTTGGTCATGCACTACCATGATAAACACTGGCTGGTCATGCACTACCATGATAAACACTGGCTGGTCATGCACTACCATGGTAAACACTGGTTGGTCATGCACTACCATGGTAAACACTGGCTGGGCATGCACTACCATGGTAAACACTGGCTGGTCATACACTACCATGATAAACACTGGCTGGTCATGCACTACCATGATAAACACTGGCTGGTCATGCACTACCATGGTAAACACTGGCTGGTCATGCACTAACCATGGTAAACACTGGTTGGCATGCACTACCATGGTAAACACTGGCTGGGTCATACACTACCATGATAAACACTGGCTGGTCATGCACTACCATGAAAAACACTGGCTGGTCATGCACTACCATGGTAAACACTGGCTGGTCATGCACTACCATGGTAAACACTGGCTGGGCATGCACTACCATGATAAACACTGGTTGGTCATGCACTACCATGATAAACACTGGCTGGTCATGCACTACCATGATAAACACTGGCTGGTCATGCACTACCATGGTAAACACTGGTTGGTCATGCACTACCATGGTAAACACTGGCTGGGCATGCACTACCATGGTAAACACTGGCTGGGCATGCACTACCATGGTAAACACTGGCTGGTCATGCACTACCATAGTAAACACTGGCTGGTCATGCACTACCATGGTAAACACTGGCTGGTCATGCACTAACATGGTAAACACTGGCTGGGCATTCACTACCATGGTAAACACTGGCTGGGCATGCGCTACCATGGTAAACACACTGGCTGGGTCATGCACTACCATGGTAAACACTGGCTGGGCATGCACTACCATGGTAAACACTGGCTGGGCATGCTCTACCATGGTAAACACTGGATGGGCATGCACTACCATGGTAAACACTGGCTGGTCATGCATTACCATGGTAAACACTGGCTGGTCATGCACTACCATGGTAAACACTGGCTGGGCATGCACTACCATGGTAAACACTGGCTGGTCATGCACTACCATGGTAAACACTGGCTGGTCATGCACTACCATGGTAAACACTGGCAGGTCATGCACTACCATGGTAAACACTGGCTGGTCATGCACTACCATGGTAAACACTGGCTGGGCATGCACTACCATGGTAAACACTGGCTGGTCATGCACTACCATGGTAAACACTGGCTGGGCATGCACTACCATGGTAAACACTGGCTGGTCATGCACTACCATGGCAAACACTGGCTGGTCATGCACTACCATGGTAAACACTGGCTGGTCATGCACTACCATGGTAAACATCAGCATGCAACGGCATGGCACTACCATGGTAAACACTGGCTGGTCATGCACTACCATGGTAAACACTGGCTGGTCATGCACTACCATGGTAAACATCATTCAGTGACCCTAGACCAACATTTACAATTTTGTTTTCCTTTGAGACAGTCTTCATAAAAACAGTAAATATACACCAAGATTTATTTTGTGTTGGATCATTTGTTACTTAACGCATTTTCTAGTCAAATAAATAGTCATACAAAATCGTAAGCCACTTATTGTAGAAACAAGCAGATAGTGTGTAGCCTACACTGTCGTGTAGGAGTTACAATACAGGTTATTTACACACACACACACACACACACACACACACACACACACACACACACACACATACACATATAATACTAAGCTACTTCCTGCTCTCAGAGAAACTGTTGTAATTGTTGACTTTCTTGGCAGCTAAGGAACCTGGACCCTATCTGGTACCGACATCCGTGGGACTGGGACTGCATCTGGATTCCACCCCACGAGACGAGGGTAGTTCCTCATTTCGGCGTAGCCTCAGCCTACGATCTCATTCTCCGATACCTGCGCATGAAACCCACCACATATTATTATATTTCTGATTAAAGCTCTCCTGACACCATAGAAGTTCGGCTGTATACCGGGAGAATCTCCTTACCCCTGCAAACATTTACTGGGAGAACTTAACCTACAACCATCCAAGTGTAGATTATTGTCATCTAAGGCGAGTGCTAACGAGTGCATGGTCTTGTCGGCAGGTGAAGCCTCCGGGATACCAGCCCATATGGATGAAACACCCGTACCGCCTGCCCGTCGAGGACATCGTGGTCCCTCCCCACGAGAGCTCCATCTGGCCAGAAAACATCCCACACTTCAGTCTCGTGTCTTCCTATGATCTCATGATAGACTTTCTGGGAATACGGAAGCCTTGTACTTTCTGCTGACTTGGTGAACCATCGGGGCAGTGCACTCACACGCCACAACTCTCTCAATATTCATAATCTTCTGGAGAGTTAAATAGGGGTTTCTCCGAAAGCAGCAGCGTCCGTGAGTCATAGGAGAGTCCGTGAGGCACAGCAGCGTCCGTGAGGCGACGCCTCAATGAGAACGACAACACTCATCTCACGCATTTGTTTGTTTGTTTTTGTTTTCTTATTGTCATCAATGCCACACTGACTGTTTCCGTTCACACAGTAACAAAGGCCAATCAGTGGACGTTTTAGCTTTTATTGTGTAGTTTGTAAGAGGAAGTCAACAAAAAAAATTAAAACCATATATATTTACGTATATATTTTTGAGTATTGTTTTAAAAATGCTGTAAAACAAGGTGTGATACTAATTTTAGCTTATGTGGTTTATTTCCCCTCACCGTTGTTGATGTGTGGCTTGTACAATATATGTAGTCAATACTCCATAAGTGCAACACGTCCAGTGTGTCCGTTATCTTCACTAACATCAACACGACAGATTCCGTTATCTTCATTAACATCAACACGACAGATTCCGTTATCTTCATTAACATCAACACGACAGATTCCGTTATCTCAACTCAACACGACAGATTCCGTTATCTTCACTAACATCAACACGACAGATTCCGTTATCTTCACTAACATCAACACGACAACTTCGTCGAATTAATAATAATATATATGTAGCTCTTTTATTCTGCGTTTTATTATCCTGGACGACTGACAGAGAAATTCAACATCTGAAAACATGTGATCAGTTGCAAGGCAATCACGGAACCAGGAGCTGTGACTCGACCCCGGCAATCACAGTTTAGTTGTGCCCCCACTTGGCTTAGTTACATCATTTACAGATACTACAGTAATTTCATATATTACAAATAATTCACGATGGTAATCTACTTAACAAGAATGCATATCAGGAAATTTTAAGTATTATTTTACTACTATAAAAAAAAGTCATCATTGGATTGCAGTCTGGGAATGATATCGTCCTGGGATTCTATAAGAAATAAAAATAATATTGAAACTCGTTATATTCAGAACATGAAAACAGAATTTCAATCATTAAATAGATTTTGGGATCGAGGAAATTTTATGAGATGTCTTACACAGACTCGCTTAATTTGATTACAATAATAATAATAATAATAATAATAATAATAATAATAATTAATAATAATAATAATAATATAATAATAATAATAATAATAATAATAATAATAATAATAATAATAATTATTATGCAAACGATGCCAATTTTTCCCTCCTATATATTTTGTAATATAAGGTCATGGTGCCTGATAGAAACTATAGAAGCTGTGATATCTAAATATGTACCTGATCCTTACAAATATTCAAGGATCATCCCTTGATGCTGGGTCCATGACTGTTTCTGTTTCTCTTCTCTCCCGTTGTTGAGTTTCAAAGAAGCAATACATTTAATGAACACTAATACTCAATGAGAATCAAAAGAATCTTTTGTGTTCCAAGCTAAGAATACGTGTGTTATACAACCATATAGGCAAGTCCTCCCCACCAGCGATCCAGCAGTTTAAAGGTACAACAATCGGGGCCCCAGTGTTATACCTGGTTCAACCCCGCCAGCCACAAGGAAAGACAAAGTTGTGAAGCAATGTTGGAGACTCGTGGATCAACATTGGTAGACTTACCTCAAGTCTGGTCGCCCACAGTTTTGCTTTGTACATAGTATATATACATTGTACGTATACTTGCATGCTATTTTGGTGAAGGCAATGTAAGTATTTACTCACTGCTGACTCTTGTTCGTTCCTCAGTCCTAAATTGGTTAAGAGCAGGAGTACAAAACCACAAGACTTCACCTGTGTTCAGTGTCTATCAGACTGACCTGGAGAGTGCAGTGCGCTGCCCTGGTTTCTTCCCTTGGAAGTATGCGAATTCATTTTGTAATGATGAAGGCTCCATGAAGGACAATAATGCATACTACCGTGACTGGAACAATACACAGACAGCCTGCACATGAAAGAGTGGAGCTTAAGACGACGTTTCTGTCTGACTTTGTAAATGGTCCAAGTCGGGCCGCAGCGTCGTCGTATGCTCCTCTCTCCAATGTGCGGGTTACTTGTGTAATGAAGGCTCCGTGGTTCTGCTCGACTGTATCTTTGAAGTGGCAGCCTTAAGTCTCTGTCGTCTGCTCCTGTAACTCTCACAGAGAATTAGCTCTGCCTATCGACCTCCAACCCATACTATCTGAGCCAATTATTTCTATAAAAATTCCTCTCAGACGCATAAACATCTTGGGAACTTGATACAGGGAATTCCTGTTCACTTGTCTAACCTATAAGCAAGACCTACTTGTCAGTGCAAATGGACTGAACACATTGACTCCAGGCAGAGGGACTGATTGAATAAGAATGCAGGAGCACTACGACAGGCCTACTGGCTCATGCTAGGAAAGTCTAACACCCACTCATGTACTGTCTAACCTGTTTTTGAAGCTACACAAGGTTTAAGCTTCAATGACTCTACTCGGGAGTTGTACCACTCATCCACAACTCTGTTCCCAAACAATGCTTTCCTATAACCTTTCTAAATCCTAATTTTTTCCAGTGCGCTCATTGGCGCAAGTCCTGTCTTTGTCAGATATTTTTAGTACGTTATTTACGTCCCTTTCATGAATTCCTGGTTTCCATTTATACACCTCAATCATATCCCCCCCTGTTTTCACGCCTTTCTAGAAAATGCTGATTCAGGGCCTCAGTCTAGCTTCGTAGGAAAGATTTCTGATACATGGGATCAACTTTGTCATCTTTCTTTCTACGGTTTCCAGCGCGTTTATAAATAGGGTTGATAATAACCTGAAGACTCCTGTTATTTATACTTCTTGATATGAAGCCAAGAATTCTATTCGCTTTATTGGTGGTGGTGGTGGTGGTGGTGGTGGTTGTAGTGGTGGTGCTAGTCGCGATGCTGGTGGTGGTGATAGTCGTGATGGTGGTGGTGGTGGTGGTTGTGGTGGTAATGGTGGTGGTGGTGGTGATGGTCGCGATGCCGGTGATGGTAGTAGTAGTAGTGGTGGTGGTGGTGGTGGTAACAGTAGTGATGGTCGTGATGCTGGTGGTGGTAGTGGTAGGAGTAGAGGTGGTGGTAGCGATGGTGGTGGTGATTGTGGTGGTGGTGGTGGTGGTAGTGGTTTTGGTTGTGGTGGTGATGGTGATGGTGGTTGTGGTGGTGATGGTGGTGGTGGTGGTTGTGGTGGTGATGGTGGTGGTGGTTGTGATGGTGATGGTGGTGGTGGTTGTGGTGGTGTGGTGGTGATGGTGGTGGTAATGGTGGTGGTGACAGACTGTGTACTCGCCAATTTGTGGTTGCAGTGGTCGATTTACAGCTCCTGGCCCCACGTCTTCACTGGTCGCTACTAGGTTCACTCTCTCCCTTCTCCATGAGCTTTATCGTATCTCATCTTAAAGCTATGTATGGATCCTGCCTCCACTACATCACTCTCCATATTGTTTCTCTTCCTGACAACTCTATGACTGAAGAAATACTTCCTAACATCCCTGTGGCTCATCTGAGTTTTCAACTTCCATTTGTGACCCCTTGTTGATGTGTTCCATCTCTGAAACGTCCTGTCCCTATCCACCTTGTCAATTCCTCTCAGTATTTTTTATGTCGTTATCATGTCCTTCCTATTCCTCCTGTCCTCCAGTATCGTCAGGATGATCTCTTTTAACCTTTCCTGATAGGACATACCCCATAGCTCCAGGACTAGTCTTACAAACCTTTGCACTTTCTATAATTACTTGACGTGCTAGACCAGGTGTGGGTTCCATACTGGTGCTGCATACCCCAATATGGGCCTGACGTACATGGTGTATAGTCTTGAATGGCTCTTTACTCAGGTGTCGAAACGCTATTCTTAGGTTTGCCAGGCGCCCATATGCTGCCGCAGTTATTTGTTTGATGTGCGCCTGAGATGTGCTCGGTATGATACTCACCCCTAGATCCTTTTCCATGAGTGAGGTTTGCAGTCTTTGGCTCCCTAGCTTGTACTCCGTCTGTGGTCTTCTTATACCTTCCCCAATCTTCATAACTTTGCCCTTGGTGGGGTTAAACTCCAGGAGCCGGTTGTTGGACCAGGCTTTCAACCTGACCAGATTCCTTTGTAGTCCTGCCCGATCCTCATCCGTTTGAATTATCCGCATTAGCTTCACATCGTCTGCAAAAAGGGGCACCTCTGAATCTATCCCTTCCAACAGGTCATTCACATGTACCAGAAACAGCACCGCCCCCAGAACTGACCCCTGTGGAACCCCGCTCGTCACAGGTGCCCACTCTGACACCTTGTCACTTACCATCACTCGTTGTTTCTTCCCTGCTATACCTGCCTGATCCTCTGGCTTTTGTATTAATCTCTTATTCGGAACTGTGTCGAAAGCCTCTGGTGGCCTGGTGGTTAACGCTCTCGCTTCACACGGTGAGGGCCTGGGTTCGATTCCCAGCCAGAGTAGAAACATTGGACGTGTTTCTTTCCACCTGTTGTCTATGTTCCCCATCAGTAAAATGGGTACCTGGGTATTAGTCGACTGGTGTGGGTCGCATCCTGGGACACTGACCTAAGGAGGCCTGGTCACAGACCGGGCCGCGGGGGCGTTGACCCCCGGAACTCTCTCCAGATAAACTCCAGATAGTCAAAGAAAATGCCATCTACCCACCCCTCTCTCTCTCTCTCTCCTGTCTTACTTCTGTCACCTTGTCATAAAACTCCAGTAGGTTTGTGACACAGGATTTTCCTTCCCTGAAACTGTGCTATGTGTGTGTGTACTCACCGAGTTGTGGTTGCAGAAGTGGAGTCTCAGCTCCTGGCCCTAACCCAGAAACTAGACGTTACTCTCTTAGCTTCCTGAGCAGTATTATGCCTATTCTTAGAGATGCTGCCTCCACCACGTCTTCACCCTAATCATTCTTCTTGCTGACACCCTAAGGCTGAAGAAATTCTTCCTAACATTCCTGTGCCTATTGCTATCCATTGTACCCTTATGTACTTGTTTCTCGAAATCATGTTTCCCATAGTTCTTCAGTCTGTTTTTGTTCATTGTTTAAATTCCTTCAGCATCTTCTCACAGCTCAGTCCCCTCAGCTCTGGGACTAATCTCATTGTATACACAAATAACCCGCACATAAAAGAGAGAAGCTTACGACGACGTTTCGGTCAGACTTGGACCATTTACAAAGTCACACTAACCAGAAGCGGAACAGGACGGCTATATATAGGCAGGAAGAGGTGGTGGTAGTAGTAGTAATAGTACAAGAATGGTATATAATACCGACAAGATGAAATTAAGACATGTCTCCATGTACACCATGTGTGACTTTGTAAATGGTCCAAGTCGGACCGAAACGTCGTCGTAAGCTTCTCTCTTTTATGTGCGGGTTATTTGTGTATCGTTCCAGTCACGGTATTGTGCCTTTTTTTTTGTTACTCATTGTATATCTTTGTGCTTTCTCCGATGTGGGGTCCATGCTGGTGCTGCTAACTCCTAACACCTCATATATAAGGAAATGAATGACTGTTAGTTAACATTCCTGAAGGCTACTCTTAGAAATACAGAACGAGAATTGACTGTAGAGGTTATTGATTGATATGAGCATCTGTCGATAATGGAAATATAAACACAAATGCAGTATAATGTGATCCTTTATTGACTACGTTTCGCCCACACAGTGGGCTTTTTCAAGTCACAAACAGAACTACCTGGGGTGGAAGGAACGCGAGTATTTATAGTTCTGTTTGTGACTTGAAAAAGCCCACTGTGTGGGCGAAACGTAGTCAATAAAGGATCACATTATACTGCATTTGTGTTTATATTTCCATTGTGTCGGTATTTTATACCATTTATTTCCATCTGGCGATAAGCTTGATACTATGCTCACCCCTAGTTCTTTCTCTGTGAATGAAGTCTGCAGCCTCTGTACCTCAAGTCAATACTCCGTGTCCAGTTTTTTTTTTCCCCCTTTCCCAAGATTCATGACTTAGCATTTATGCTGGGGTTGCATTCAAGTAGCCACGCGGCTTATCCACATTCATTTGTAGCCTTTCCTTGCCCTCATCTATTTGTATTCTTTTCATTCACTTTACATCGCTAGCAACGAGAAATATATTTGACTTAATGCAATCTAGAATGGCATTCACTTTAAAATGGAAACAGTAATGGTCTTAATACTGGTCCATGCGGCACCCTACTTGTTAAGCTTCCCCATTCTGACGTCACTTCCCGGACACTCTGTCTCCTTCCCTAAAGTGTTCTTTGATCCCCAGGACAACATTTCCTGTTATTCCTGCCTTCACATCAAGGTCTTGTCCCAGTATAGTGTACTGGGAGGTACAGTATGGTGTACTGGGAGGTACAGTATGATGTACTGGGAGGTACAGTATGATGTACTGGGAGGCACAGTATGGTGTACTGGGAGGCACAGTATGGTGTACTGGGAGGTGCAGTCTGGTGTATTGAGAGGTACAGTGTGGTGTACTGGGAGGTACAGTATGTTGTACTGGGAGGTGCAGTCTGGTGTACTGAGAGGTACAGTATGGTGTACTGGGAGGTACAGTATGGTGTACTGGGAGGTACAGTATGGTGTACTGGGAGGTACAGTATGGTGTACTGGGAGGTACAGTATGGTGTACTGGGAGGTGCAGTCTGGTGTACTGGGAGGTACAGTATGGTGTACTAGGAGGTACAGTATGGTGTACTGGGAGGTGCAGTCTGGTGTATTGGGAGGTGCAGTATGGTGTACTGAGAGGTACAGTATGGTGTACTAGAAGGTACAGTATGGTGTACTGGGAGGTGCAGTCTGGTGTACTGAGAGGTACAGTATGGTGTACTGGGAGGTACAGCATGTTGTACTGGGAGGTGCAGTATGGTGTACTGGGAGGTGCAGTATGGTGTACTGGGAGGTACAGTATGGTGTACTGGGAGGTACAGTATGGTGTACTGGGAGGTGCAGTATGGTGTACCGGGAGGTAAGTATGGTGTACGGAGGTCAGCTGGTGTACTGGGAGGTACATATGGTTATAGGAGGTACAGTATGGTTTACTGGGAGGTGCTTTGGGGTTTTGGGAAGGGGACAGTATTTTTATGAGAGGGTACATTAGGGTAAAATGGAGGTTCAGTAGGGGTACTGGGAGGGCATCTGTGTACTGAGAGGACAGTAGGTGACTGGAAGGTCCCGTATGTTGTACGGGAGGTGAGTATGGTGACTGGGGGGCAGTATGGTGTACTGGGAGATAAAAGTTGGTGTACGGGAGGGACGATGGGGTACTGGTAGGGCAGTATGGTGTACTGGGAGGGGGGGAGTATGGTGTACGGGAGGTACGTAGGTGTCTGGGGGGGGGCAGTCGGGGGGTAGGGTTTTATTTTGGTTGACCCCCGGGGGGGGGGGGTTAATTTTGGGTCCCCGGGGGCCCGGGGGTCCCAAAGTGTTCTTGGGATTAAGGGAAACTTGTTTTGGGGGTTCCCAGGGGGGGTAGTTAGTGTTGGTGGGACGTTGGCGGGGGTACGGTTCAGTGTTGGGGGTTTGTGACGCTGGCGGGGAGGGTCAGGGGTGGGTGTGACGCTGGCGGGGTGACGGGTCAGTGTTGTGGTGTGACGTTGGCAGGGTGACGGGTCAGTGTGTGGTGTGACGCTGCGGGAGGTGTACGGGTCAGTGTTGTGGTTGACGCTGGCGGGGTGACGGTGTCAGTGCTTTGTGGTGTTACGCTGCGGGGTGACGGGTCAGTGTTGTGGTGTGACGTGGCGGGGTGACGGGTCAGTGTTGTGGTGTGACGCTGGCGGGGTGACGGGTCAGTATTGTGGTGTGACGTTGGCAGGGTGACGGGTCAGTGTTGTGGTGTGACGCTGGCGGGGTGATGGGTCAGTGTTGTGGTGTGACGCTGGCGGGGTGACGGGTCAGTGTTGTGGTGTGACGCTGGCGGGGTGACGGGTCAGCGTTGTGGTGTTACGCTGGCGGGTGAGGGTCAGTGTTGTGGTGTGACGCTGCGGGGTGACGGGTCAGTGTTGTGGTTGTGACGCTGGCGGGGTGAGGGTGAGTATTGTGGTGTGACGCTGGCGGGGTGACGGGTCAGCGTTGTGGTGTGACGCTGGCGGGGTGACGGGTCAGTGTTGTGGTGTGACGCTGGCAGGGTGACGGGTCAGCGTTGTGGTGTGACGCTGGCGGGGTGACGGGTCAGTGTTGTGGTGTGACGCTGGCGGGGTGACGGGTCAGTGTTGTGGTGTGACGCTGGCGGGGTGACGGGTGAGTGTTGTGGTGTGACGCTGGCGGGGTGACGGGTCAGTGTTGTGGTGTGACGCTGGCGGGGTGACGGGTCAGTGTTGTGGTGTGACGCTGGCGGGGTGACGGGTCGTGTTGTGGTGTGACGCTGGCGGGGTGACGGTCGTGTTGTGGTGTGACGTGGCGGAGTGACGCATGAGTGTTGTGGTGTGACGCTGGCGGGGTGACGGGTGAGTGTTGTGGTGTGACGCTGGCAGGGTGACGGGTGAGTGTTGTGGTGTGACGCTGGCGAGGTGACGGGTCAGTGTTGTGGTGTGACGTTGGCAGGGTGACGGGTCAGTGTTGTGGTGTGACGCTGGCGGGGTGACGGGTGAGTATTGTGGTGTGACGCTGGCGGGGTGACGGGTCAGTGTTGTGGTGTGACGTTGGCAGGGTGACGGGTCAGTGTTGTGGTGTGACGCTGGCGGGGTGACGGGTCAGTGTTGTGGTGTGACGCTGGTGGGGTGACGGGTCAGTGTTGTGGTGTGACGCTGGCGGGGTGACGGGTCAGGGTTGTGGTGTTACACTGGCGGGGTGACGGGTCAGTGTTGTGGTGTGACGCTGGCGGGGTGACGGGTCAGTGTTGTGGTGTGACGCTGGCGGGGTGACGGATCAGTGTTGTGGTGTGACGCTGGCGGGGTGACGGGTCAGTGTTGTGGTGTGACGCTGGCGGGGTGACGGGTCAGTGTTGTGGTGTGACGTTGGCAGGGTGACGGCTCAGTGTTGTGGTGTGACGCTGGCGGGTGACGGGTCAGTGTTGTGGTGTGACGTTGGAGGGTGAGGGTCAGTGTTGTGGTGTGACGCTGGCGGGGTGACAGGTCAGTGTTGTGGTGTGACGCTGACGGGTGGACGGGTCAGTGTTGTGGTGTGACGCTGGCGGGGTGACGGGTCAGTGTTGTGGTGTGACGCTGGCGGAGTGACGCATGAGTGTTGTGGTGTGACGCTGGCGGAGTGACGGGTGAGTGTTGTGGTGTGACGCTGGCGGGGTGACGGGTGAGTGTTGTGGTGTGACGCTGGCGAGGTGACGGGTCAGTGTTGTGGTGTGACGCTGGCGAGGTGACGGGTCAGTGTTGCGGTGTGACGCTGACAGGGTGATGGGTGAGTGTTGTGCTGTGACGCTGGCAGGGTGACGGGTGAGTGTTGTGGTGTGACGCTGGCGAGATGACGGGTCAGTGTTGTGGTGTGACGCTGGCGAGGTGACGGGTCAGTGTTGTGGTGTGATGCTGGCGGGGTGACGGGTCAGTGTTGTGGTGTGATGCTGGCGGGGTGACGGGTCAGTGTTGTGGTGTGACGCTGGTGGGGTGACGGGTCAGTGTTGTGGTGTGACGCTGGCGGGGTGACGGGTCAGTGTTGTGGTGTGACGCTGGCGAGGTGACGGGTCAGTGTTGTGGTGAGTTAGTACTACGTATGAGCATTGATTGTGTTAGCGACCACCCACACCTCTTCGTCCACTCACACCTCTCACTCCACATTCAGGCACCTCACCACTACCTTGTGCCTCCTGGTACTATGCCTGGCACCTGTGGCACTCAACTGGGCTCTCTAAGTCACCTACTGGAACTCACTCGCCTCTTCATGAAGTGTTAGCCAAGAATTTTCACCATCTTCCTCTGCAGTGTGAGGATTAATTGTTCCAGCCCGGCGTTGTGTAGTGTTCCAGCCTCGGCGTTGTGTAGTGTTCCAGCCACGGCCTTGTATACTGTTCCAGCCACAGCCTTGTGTTTTGTTCCAGCCACGGAAATGTGTAGTTCCAGCCACGGCCTTGCGTAGTGTTCCAGCCACGGCCTTGTGTTGTGTTCCAGCCACGGCCTTGTGTAGTGTTCCAGCCACGGCCTTGTATACTGTTCCAGCCACAGCCTTGTGTATTGTTCCAGCCACGGAAATGTGTAGTTCCAGCCACGGCCTTGCGTAGTGTTCCAGCCACGGCCTTGTATACTGTTCCAGCCACAGCCTTGTGTATTGTTCCAGCCACGGAAATGTGTAGTTCCAGCCACGGCCTTGCGTAGTGTTCCAGCCACGGCCTTGTGTAGTGTTCCAGACACGGCCTTGTGTAGTGTTCCAGCCACGGCCTTGTGTATTGTTCCAGCCATGGCATTGTGAGTTGTTCCAGCCACTGCACTGTGAATTGTAGCACCAACTGAATTGCTGACACTTTCAACTACGTTATTGTGCCTCGTTTCATTTAGAGTCTACAAATCTGTCTCCAAGTGTTGTGAGTTTCAACTGGGCCGATTCTTGACAACATGGCGGAGGACCGGCCAATAAAGTTCCAGAACGAGAAGCCTCGTAACGAAGGCTTCACCGACAGTGTGTCCTCACCGCTGGCACTTCCAGAAGGAAGACAGCAAGGGCAGCAGGAATGCTCCAGTAGGGTGCCCAAGTGCGCCCGCTGTCGCAACCACCATATACACACGCCCCTCAGAGGGCACAAGAGGTACTGCCCCTTCAGGTTGTGCCAGTGTGAGAGGTGCCAACTGACGGTGCAGCGGCAGAAGATCATGGCACAGCAGGTGGCACTGCGCAGAGCCCAGGAGCAGGACGAGGCACGGGCAGTGATGGGGGTGGCACTGAGCAGAGGGCAGGCACCTGCTTCACCCCCCACCTGGGCAGCAGAGCAGGAGGGCAGCAACAGCAGAGAAGACTCACCCTCCACTCCTGCTTCTGCCTCTGCTGACACGTCTGCTGCCTTTACTCCAGCCACTGCTGTAAGCAAACCCTCCACTTCCACCTCCAGCCTCTCGCTTGGGCACCACCTACAATGGGACCCAACGACCTTCCGCCACCTACACGGTCAGTATGAATACATACGTATCATGCACCTGCGGCCTACTGGGTCAAGCAGGCTGTGGTTGCTGGTGGCCCGCTGGCCCACACATCACAGCCTGCTTGATCTGTCACTTGACGGGACTAGTGATCCAGTTTTATCTTGACAATTTTAAACACTTGCTCCTGTAATATTTTGGTATATGGTGGGTAGCAGGTTGAAGAGTCTTGGTCCAAGCATGTTAACACACTGTTCTCATAATACAGTGGTAGTGTGGTGGTGGTGGTGGTCGTGGTGATGATAGCGTTCGTGGTGGTGTTAGTGATGGTGGTGATGACAATGCTAGTAGTTGTGGTAGTGATGGTGACCGGTGAGTCTCCACGATGGTGGGTCACAGCAGACCAGCAGTGATGGTGGGTCACAGCAGACCAGCAGTGATGGTGGGTCACAGCAGACCAGCAGTGATGGTGGGTCACAGCAGACCAGCAGTGATGGGGGGTCACAGCAGCCCGGCAGTGTGGTGGGTCACAGCGCCCATCAGTGATGGAACACGTCATGACGACAGGGGACGGAAGACAAGCATACTCACTGAAAATTGATGGTTACAGAAGATCCGTGGCAGCATCTAGTTCACACACTGCCTTATTAGTACATGTATGGTAGTAGTGTGGTCGTCCAGATACATCATACGGTATCTAGGTACTGTAGTGATCCAGTTACACTCAGTATGTATAGTATGGGCCAGTTCACTATGGTGGTGTACGCCAGACAGCATACTGGTCACCCAGCTGCAGCATGACTGGTGGGTCCAGCCAGTCAGCATATGTGGTACCCACAGCATATCTGTACACAGTACATCTGTAACCGCATTGTACATATACTGTCACTACCAGACTCATGACTGGTACACAAGTACAATGACTCACAATGCAACACATTACTCACGTACATATATCTGTACACAGACATCACTAGGGTCAAGCATAGTTCAACTGTACCTCCAACGTACATCATTACTGTACCGTACATTCGACTGTACTCCAGTACATCTTACTGTACAAGTACTACATGTATCCAGTACATCATACTGTACCATAATTACAATCGTACTCACAGTACATCATATGCTCAGAATCATCTGTAGCTCAGTACTACTAATATACTGTACACAGTACATCATACTGTACTCCAGTACATCATACTGTACCAGTAATTACTGTTCCCAGTACATAATACTGTACCCAGACATGTACTCACATAATATACGTACCCAGTACATCATACTGTACCCCAGGACACATATTGTACCCCAGTACCATCATACTGTAAACTCCAGTATATCATACTGTACGACCCAGTACATATACTGTACCACAGAATAATACTGTACCCCAGCCTACATCATTACTGTACCCTAGTACATCATACTGTACCCCAGTAATAATACTGTACCCAACATACATACTGACTATACTGTACCCAGTACATCATACTGTACCCAGTACATCTACTGTACCCCAGTACATAATACTGTACCCAGTACATCATACTGTACCCCAAGTACATCATACTGTACCCCAGTACATCATATGTACCCAGTACATCATACTGCGCCCAGTCTAGTAATCAATACTGTACTCCAGTACATCATACTGTACCCCAGTACATCATACTGTACCCTAGTAATCATACTATACTCCAGTAACATTCATACTGTACCCCAGTAACATCATACTGTACCCCAGTACATCATACTGTACCCCAGTACATCATACTGTACCCAGTACATCATACTGTACCCCAGTAATCATACTGTACCAGTAATATACTGTACTCCAGTACATCATACTGTACCCCAGTACATCATACTGTACCCCAGTACTCATTACTGTACCCCAGTACATCATACTGTACCCCAGTACATCATACTGTACCCCAGTACATCATACTGTACCCCAGTACATCATACTGTACCCCAGTACATCATACTGTACCCCAGTACATCATACTGTACCCCAGTACATCATACTGTACCCCAGTACATCATACTGTACCCCAGTACATCATATTGTACCCCAGTACATCATACTGTACCCCAGTACATCATATTGTACCCCAGTACATCATACTGTACCTCCCAGAACAACATACTGTATCTCCCGGTACACCATACCGTACCACCCAGTACATCATAACGTATCTCCCAGTACGCAATACCGTACTTCCCAGTACATAATACTGTATTTCCCAGTACATCATACTGTATTTCCCAGTACATTATACTCTATTTCCCAGTACATCATACTGTATTTCCCAGTACATTATACTGTATTTCCCAGTACATTATACTGTATTTCTCAGTACCCAGTACATTATACTGTATTTCCTAGTACATCATACTGTATTTCCCAGTACATTATACTGTATTTCCCAGTGCATCATACTGTATTTCCCAGTACATCATACTGTATTTCCCGGTACATTATACTGTATTTCCCAGTACATCATACTGTATTTCCCAGTACATTATACTGTATTTCCCAGTACATCATACTGTATTTCCCAGTACATTATACTGTATTTCCCAGTACATCATACTGTATATCCCTGTACATCATAATGTATTTCCCAGTACATCATACTGTATTTCCCAGTACATCATACTGTATTTCCCAGTACATTATACTGCATTTTCCAGTACATCATACTGTATTTCCCAGTACATCATACTGTATTTCCCAGTACATCATACTGTATATCCCAGTACATCATACTGTATTTCCCTGTGCATCATACTGTATTTCCCAGTACATCATACTGTATTTCCCAGTACATTATACTGTATTTTCCAGTACATTATACTGTATTTCCCAGTACATCATACTGTATATCCCAGTACATCATACTGTATTTCCCAGTACATTATACTGTATTTCCCAGTACATCATACTGTATATCCCAGTACATCATTCTGTATTTCCCAGTACATCATACTGTATTTCCCAGTACATCATACTGTATTTCCCAGTACATTATACTGTATTTTCCAGTACCTCATACTGTATTTCCCAGTACATCATACTGTATATCCCAGTACATCATACTGTATTTCCCAGTACATCATACTGTATTTCCCAGTACATCATACTGTATTTCCCAGTACATCATACTGTATATCCCAGTACATCATACTGTATTTCCCAGTACATCATACTGTATTTCCCAGTACATCATACTGTATATCCCAGTACATCATACTGTATTTCCAGTACATCATACTGTATTTCCCAGTACATCATACTGTATATCCCAGTACATCATACTGTATTTCTCAGTACACTACTGATTTCCCGTACTCATACTGTATTTCCCAGTACATCATACTGTATATCCCAGTACATCATACTGTATTTCCCAGTACATCATACTGTATTTCCCAGTACATCATACTGTATTTCCCAGTACATCATACTGTATATCCCAGTACATCATACTGTATTTCCCAGTACACCATACCGTACCTCCCGGTACATCACACTGAACAATACATCAGACGTAAAAACACAAATCATTTACTTAGTACTATCTTTAGCCTGTGTTCTCTTGTTATGAAAGTTCTCTCGTTATTCATGTTATTGTTATTCATGTTATTGTTCAGTTGAAATATCTGTTTGTATCTAGTAACTGTGTAGAGTGTTTGTATCTGTGTTTGTTGTGAGTGTGAGGAACAGTGAAGGTGTCAGGACACTCCCTTGGGGCACTCAACGAGTGTGAGGAACAGTGAAGGTACCAGGACACTCCCTTGGGGCACTGAATGAGTGTGAGGAACAGTGAAGGTACCAGGACACTCCCTTGGGGCACTGAATGAGTGTGAGGAACAGTGAAGGTGCCAGGACACTCCCTTGGGGCACTGAATGAGTGTGAGGAACAGTGAAGGTACCAGGACACTCCCTTGGGGCACTGAATGAGTGTGAGGAACAGTGAAGGTACCAGGACACTCCCTTGGGGCACTGAACGAGTGTGAGGAACAGTGAAGGTGCCAGGACACTCCCTTGGGGCACTGAATGAGTGTGAGGAACAGTGAAGGTACCAGGACACTCCCTTGGGGCACTGAATGAGTGTGAGGAACAGTGAAGGTACCAGGACACTCCCTTGGGGCACTGAATGAGTGTGAGGAACAGTGAAGGTACCAGGACACTCCCTTGGGGCACTGAATGAGTGTGAGGAACAGTGAAGGTCCAGGACACTCCCTTGGGGCACTGAATGAGTGTGAGGAACAGTGAAGGTACCAGGACACTCCCTTGGGCACTGAATGAGTGTGAGGAACAGTGAAGGTGCCAGGACACTCCCTTGGGGCACTGAATGAGTGTGAGGAACAGTGAAGGTACCAGGACACTCCCTTGGGGCACTGAATGAGTGTGAGGAACAGTGAAGGTACCAGGACACTCCCTTGGGGCACTGAACGAGTGTGAGGAACAGTGAAGGTGCCAGGACACTCCCTTGGGGCACTCAACGAGTGTGAGGAACAGTGAAGGTGCCAGGACACTCCCTTGGGGCACTGAACGAGTGTGAGGAACAGTGAAGGTACCAGGACACTCCCTTGGGGCACTGAATGAGTGTGAGGAACAGTGAAGGTCCAGGACACTCCCTTGGGGCACTGAATCGAGTGTGAGGAACAGTGAAGGTGCCAGGACACTCCCTTGGGGCACTGAATGAGTGTGAGGAACAGTGAAGGTGTCAGGACACTCCCTTGGGGCACTGAATGAGTGTGAGGAACAGTGAAGGTACCAGGACACTCCCTTGGGGCACTGAATGAGTGTGAGGAACAGTGAAGGTGCCAGGACACTCCCTTGGGGCACTGAATGAGTGTGAGGAACAGTGAAGGTACCAGGACACTCCCTTGGGGCACTGAATGAGTGTGAGGAACAGTGAAGGTGCCAGGACACTCCCTTGGGGCACTGAATGAGTGTGAGGAACAGTGAAGGTGCCAGGACACTCCCTTGGGGCACTCAACGAGTGTGAGGAA